GGCCCCCCAGCCAGGGCTTCCTCCCCAGCAGCACACCCCGATGCTGATGGCCAAGGGCTGCCAGCCCACTGGGGATATCCAGGGGTCAGGGCTACCGAAACGTGGCCGGGAAGCCAAAGGGGAGGGAACTGGTCCCCAGTCCATCGGGGACTCTCTGCTGGACCAAAAGTCACTGTGAAGGCCACAAGGGAACTGCAGGCATGTTCTGCCCTGGCTGGGGGTACTGTGACCCCCCCAGCCCTGCAGTGCCATGGCTGTTCCCAGCAAGTTTTGCAGCAGCAGCAGCAGCATCCAGAGCCATCACCAAGGTCACCCGCGATGGCAAATCAGGCAGCGAAACTGCAGTTAATCCCACTTCAACCACACAGCCCCCCCTCCCCCTCCACACACAGTGCGTCCCGGGGGATTAAGGGTTAAAGCACAAATCCCCTGCACTGCCCTGATGTGACCCACTTAGACCATCTGGCAGGGAGGGATGCAGGAGCCTCCTTTCTCCTGGTGCTCACCCGACATCACTGACAGCCCCGGGAGCTGATACTGGCACCCATGGTCCCCAGCCCCAGCAGTGCCCTTGCTTTCCATGTAGAAGTGGATTTCAGCAGAATTTGGGGGTGCTGGGATGGAGCAGCCTGTGCTACACTGCCGTTGCTGGCAGTATGGGAGCAAGAAACCCAAACATCCCAAAAGCATCCTTCAAGCCCCTGGAAGGCTGGCAGTATGGGAACGGGGAACCCAAACACCCCAAAAGCATCCTGCAAGCCCCTGGAATGCCACCAGCTCTGGATCCCAGAGAGACTCTGGAGCGTCTCCTGGTCTGGCTGTGCCTGGCATCCCAGGCTCCCTGGCACGTGGGTGTGTATGAAACACTCAGAAGCGCTGGGATAAGTCAGGCGGTTGAGTGCGAAGGGGCTTCCAGTTGCCCCACCGTGGCTGAGGTCATGGCAAAAGCCCTGCCAAGAGGGAAGCAACAGGGTCCTGGTCGCAGGGCTGAGGCTGTGGCACGGCCACGATACCCATCCCCAGAGGTTTGGATACCCATCCCCAGAGGTTTGGCTGAGACCGGTGGCACCTTTAGCACAGGAGGTTTAAAGGGATTTTCAGTTGACAAGAGCTGAAGCCCCTCACAGCTGCTGTCAGGTGGGGATGGCAGCATCCTTACGGACCAGGGAGACAGAGCGAGGGCCCCCTGGCTCAGTGGAGGGGCTTCGGGCAGGATTGGGGGTCCCTGTCCCTGACCCCATCCCTCCAGGCACACAAGCCCTTCAAACCACCCCAGAATTTCGCATGTGCTGGAGCAGCCCCCCAGCAACAGCAAGCATGGGGCAGCCCCAGTCCTGCCCAGCATCCCCGCACCCCCGGGTCCCTCGTCCCCAGCCATGAGAGCGCAGCCCTGGGCTGCACAGCGGGCCCTGCATCGGGAAAGGTTAATTGGAAAAGCCCCTTTCCCCATCACCTCGGTTTTAACTTTCACGCTGCAAACTGGTCAATAATCCATTTACTTTGGCAGAGCCCCGCTCCAGGCATGGAGCTGCGTTCGGGGGACTGGAGTGAGCAGCCCCCCCAGCCCCGGCAGGACCAGGAGGGAAGGGATTAATGTATTCTTTTGTTCCAGGATGAACCATGGGTTTAGCAGAGCTTTAGCCCTCCGAACCTCCTAGGGAATTTACATGGAAGAGGCTTTATCTCTGGGACCAGCAACAAGGTGGTGGCAAGGGATGGGACACAGGGAAGAGCCAGCTGGACGAGCGGAAAAAAAAAAAAAAAAAAATCAACTTTTGCCCCAGGAACCCCCC